TATTTATCTCGCTGATAATTATTATGAAAATACTTCTATTATATAAGCCTTAAAATAACAGTTATCGATGACTTAAAAAAATTGTCTCACACATAATTATTATCAAAAGACTTATAATTCTTACAAAAATTTGGTTGCCTTAAACTGCACCGTGAACTAATTATTATTCTGGGTCTCTGAGTGTAAACTGTCCGCATCCTATTAAAATAGCTTAATTGGTTTTTCCTATAACTTTTACACTTGATAGCCGATTCGTATACAGTTGAGGTCAATTAACTTTGGGAAAAAAACCTCCTGGAGACAAGAACATCGAGATATCATACTTTAATGTCCGACTGTAAATGACGAAGATACACCTAGAAAAAAGTTAGCTAAATATATTTCTCTTAATAAATCATTTGGTTATAGTTATATTATTTATTTATAGTTATAGTTTAGCATTGTTCTATGCCGGAAAACAAATTATACACCTGTATTTTTATTTATTTTGAAGTCAAAAAATATTTAGAGGTCGCTCCAACTGCTCAATGTTTTCCATGTATTTTATATAGGAAAACCCGACTTTTCGTAGAAATGGTATAGAATGCTTGAAAATCAATATTTTTCGATCGGAAATCTTTGTTTCTCTTCAGTTCTCAACAAAAATCACAAGAAATATTTTTCATTATTTCTGTTGCTTGAAAAAAGTACTTTGCTGTTGCTGTAAATTTTCTTGAATAAATAAATATGTACACGAGCATTTTTTTCTTGAGAGCTGCATACTGATTTAAGAAATTTTGATAGAATACAATTTTTTCATTTCTTGTGCGTCACTTTATATGCTGTTTTCGTTTTTCTTAAGACCTACAGACAGCTCTTTAAGAAGTGAAGTGCGAATAAATATGTAAAGATTGAGTACAATTTCAATAACACGGTCACCTATTTAGTCTTAGTTTTAAAATGACTCGTTTTGAAAAATAATTGCATTTTAATTCGACTAAATTCTAACTTTAATTTGACTTGTTCTAAAATGTGCTCTAAGTCTTTAAAGCCTTTTTTTTCATTTTGCCTCTAACTACGCACCTACTACGCGCATAGAATTTATAGTTCGCTAAATTGGCAACACGATTTTCAAAGCGGGAAGCAGGAGACGGCTTTCGCACTTGAACGGGCAAAGCAAATGAGGAAACTTCATTTTAATTAAGGCCTTCGCAAATTCCACAACATTCTAAGCATTTCAATTAAAATATTTGAAGGTTGCCTAATGTTACAAGACAATTCGAGACTTGCATACGCAAGAAATTTCTCCAATTCAATGAATTATTTTCGTGGAAACAGTTGCAATAGTCAGATTAGTCAGTCAGATTGCATTTTAATATACATACTTAATATGTGTGTATACAATTTCCTTGTGCGTGTATTTGTAATTCTTCTGCTTAAAAGCGGCTTGAACTATTTTGAGGAAGCCTTGAGTGTGAAGTCGCCTTGATGGGTATAAGCTATGGCGGCATCTGGCAGAGTGCACCGAAATCGAGAAATTTCACTAACAGCTCTATTCTGTATTAGTGACAGTTTTGTTACGAAAAAACGTATGAAAAAATTTCCTTTTTTCACAGTTAAACAGACCTTGGTTTTAAGTCCACGCCACCTTTCGCCAATTATCCGAGTGAATTAGGCTCTCTTTGTAGCTGACCATAAGAAAGGTGAGAATACCCAATCCTAAGGGCATTCTCTACCAGCCTTTGCCATAGCATCAGGGCCGGCTTAAGGGCAGAGCGAGAAGGGCGGTTACCCTGGTCGAAAAGTTCTGGGATGGCGTTTAATTTTTTTATTGCATAACATTTTCAAATTTGAATTTTCTTCATCGATATTGGCTGATAAAATGACGAGATTTGAGTTTTTTATCTCGCTAGCTATTTAGAATGACAACCCATACTCAATCTCGTGAGTAAAACAATGCAAGGTACAACCATGGACATGCATTTCTATCCACCTATAGAAATAAGATGCTCATCTTGCAAAAGCAGCAAGAAGGAGATGTTCGATCACTAAAGTCAAGATGAGTCAGCAAATTTCACACCAGAAGATCACTTTTGAACTGATGTTTTCATTGTTCGAGTTGACACTGCCTTGACTGAGTTTGAATAGTTGAGTCTATGAGGCATTTATTCTTACTCACAATCGCAATCACAATCACTCAATTGAAAATGTTGGAAGTTGAGCAGTTGAGAGTTGAAAAAATTACGGCGCATTAAACTTGCAACGATGGAATGGCCATTGGAGGTTGTAGATATTCGGCAAGAAAAATGTCTTCGATGTATTTCCCAATGATTGGATTTCTCTCAGGATTTTGTTGACTTTGCTAGGGACTGTTGTCTGCAGGGAGCGAAGTTTTTCGAAATCGCAGCTCATCAAAACGTACCTAGGATCCACTATTTCCCAAGAAAGATTAAATGCTTTAGCTGTCTTAACTATCGAAAATGAGTCTGCTACTCAGATTGACTTGTCCAAAAGCATTGAAAAATTTGCTCAAGCCAAAGCAAAGTAAACTTGTTGTAATTTATATACATATCTAAATTTTGATTATATGTAGTAAGAATTGGAATTTTTTTAATTTCGACTATTTTTGCATTTGATTATCGTATAAGAAAAAGAAGTCCGAGGTAATAAACATTATTATCAAAAGGCGCGTCGTTTTATTTACGCCCCGGCCGTCGTTGTTTCTAAAGCCGACCCTGCTTGGCATAATCTTTTAGATAATATGAAGTGTATCCTTACCTTATGACTTTTTTATTCAAAATGTTGAGTACCTTCCTAGAAGGTAAAATAAATAAGTGGTCTTCTTAGATCTTTTATTACTCTGTAGGGATATGTCTTCCGCGCTCGGCCAGAGTTTTAATGTCGTTTCCTCAATAACGCAAAAGTTTACATGAGATAATTATGAAGTAGTACGAATAGAACTTGACTCCAGACACGTTTCGACATGCCTACATTAATAGCCCATTAAATATTCGAATTCAGTTGTGGTGTCTAACTAAACTTTGTATGATCCTTACATGATTTTCTTCCATATAGGCTCTATGTACATGAGTATGTGCACACAATTATATAGGTATCTTTGCATTGACCCTACCCTACCTCTGCACTGACTCCTTCCAGCGTATATTCTCATTCGCCAGCCCATTAATCAGCCGGTGCGCTAAGTCTATTGTAAATGCAGTTTTATCCGCATCCCGTTGACACATTTGCTTTGCAGCTATAGCTTCCTCGAACTCCGCCTGTATCTCTGCCAGTTTCATTTCGAATTCATTGATTTTAATCTTTAGATATTGCAGACGCTCACGTGCCTCCTGCAATTCTCTCTGCGAATCGTGCAAAGCCTGTTGCTTGGGTCCGACAATGAGAAATACCTGATGATAACGATGCAAATTGATAACCCAAGCACAAAGGCCAGCCGCAGCCACTGACTTTTGTACGACCTTTTCGGGACTGAACTCGGGATCCTAAGGAATAAATAAAATGAAAATAATTGCTCAGCAAGTACCTACTTAGTTCAGTCTAGTTTACCTTCAAATATCCCTGTAATACTTCGATGATATTTGGATGTATATTGTCTTTATTGTAATTAACTAGATCGTAGAGAAATTGATCGACGCGCACCATTGTTAGCTTGGCTGCCTTCCAGCTGCGATCGCGTGGTATTTTGCCATTTTTCGCTAGTAAAACCATAACAGCTGCGCATACATTTACCACAGCCTTGGGTGGTGAGCCAAACGACTTCAATTCGGTGAGATTATTTTTGTTTAAAGTATTAAGCGCCGCTTGTGCAGCAACAAGTGCTGGTTCCGCTTTGCGTAAATCTTCTTCGCATAACTTTGTTTTCATGCAGACATCCTCTTCAATGATGCGCACGCGCTTCTCCTCCTCAGATGCGGTCGACTTTTCGCGTTTGACCTTCTCACTCTCAGCACTCACAATGATGATCAGCTTATCGGCGGCTGCATTTTTTGCTGCCAATTGAACTTCTTGGATGGCCAATTGGTTCTGTTTGTGAAATGGAGGCATACAAATATACCTTAATACAAATTCGCAGAAAATAAAATATTTTATTTGGATGTTTCATTACTGGGATCCAGATAATAGCTACAGCCGCATATTTGGCTTATCAGAAACTACAGAGGTAGATCGAATTTGACGCCGCAGACATGAAAGATCCACAAAGCCACTAGGAAGTACCCTGATCAAAAAACCCCGAGCCAACACCGACGCGGTTCATTACTCTGTTGCAGCAACGTTTCTCATTCGCCTTAGTCTGGTAGAGGACAGGCATGCCGCTCTCTTCTCCTCACGCCACTCAACCTCATACTAAGCGAACGTTTCCTGAACCAGATAAAATCGAACGAAAATTACACTGAAGATGGCCCAACGCCGAAACGGGTTTGTCTGCAAATCAAGCTTGACAAGGGATGACAGAAATTTGTCCCAAAATAAATCAGATAAAATCATATTGCCACCTGCTATACAGGCAAGCTCACATGGCCGAAATGTCAATGGCTATTGGTCTACTCACGGGTGATATCTTGATAGGCAGACATGAGGAACGCCTTGGGGTCCACCAGAATAACTTTTGTAAGAGCTGCTAAGACGAAGAAGCGTCTGAACCAATCAGAAATTTACTCTGCGTTTGCCCTACACTCTGCAGGAAAAGTAGCTAAGCTTGTAGCCATGCAATGGTTTACGAAAGAGTAGATGCTCTGGATCCTATCGATCGTATTTGACTATTTTTTTGGTATTAGGTTTCGTAGTTTTCCTTTAAGCTCGTGACATAACCTTCTAGTAGTAAGATTTTTTTTGGGAAACCTTACTGCTAAACGATTAACAAGTGAAAAAATAACATGCATATATGAGCATTTCTTTCAAAACTTTTAAAATTTTCAAAGTGTATGTGTGAGTATCAGTTCAACTGTCTTGTGGATTCAGCCTTCAAGCTCTGTGTGGATACTACTAAGTAACGTTGAAACGCAAAATTAGTTTACCACATTATTTCGCCAGCCGCATACGCTTTACGCTCTTTTGCATCGAATTCCTCACTCGAATATATGTATGTATGTAGGAGAATATTTTTGAAAGTGCAGTTGCACAGTGCACTTTGCCGCGTAGACAACTCAATTACGAGTACTAATTGAAAAGCGCGCTGTCGATTGTCCACTCAACTAGCCGTCCGAAACGTACAACTTCACACGCATTTGTATTTTTTTTTGTTTTTGTTTTTGTGACCACGATGCATTGCATACATAAAAGTGAGTGCATGTGTTGGTGTGTATGTATGTATGTAGATTGCAAATTTGCATTTCGTACCTTCAGCGCGTCCACTTGACAAGCACACTCCGCCAATTTAGCCATGCCGCTCTGCAAGCGTTGAATGCGTCCGGTATGTTCGCCATTCTTTTCCACCAGCAATTTGCGATAGAGGAAAATGTATTCGAGAAAGGTTTTTGGTGTCGTGTAGTTGTAGCGTTTTTCGTTTTGCAAATAAATTTTCGAAATCTGATTGACTGTGTGGTGAACGTAGGCCATAAAGCAACCGATTGGCGAAATCATGTTACGCTGCATTGCAATGTATGACAGTCGGGCGAGAAAATCAATAAGAGAAACAAAAAATATTTACATACTTATAATGAAAAACAAAAGAGACACTTTGGTGGTGTACTCACAGGCAAAATACGCACATCAATTTCACTAAGAAATTTTTGCGATACAGACTCGAGTGCTATTTTGGGCCATTCGTGGAACCAATCGATGCTGGTGCGGCTAAGTATGGCGGGGAATTTGCGCGCACGCACGCGTAAAGTCTGTCCGACAGGCGAAAAGCAGAGAACCACCTTTAGGAGTCGCCTTATTTTGTCAATGAAAAAACGCCAGCAGTTCTCTTTGGTGTCGAGAGTGCCACTTTGTTTCACCTCGTTACGTATGCCGTTGAAAATGGTCTCCAGCTGATCTTCATTGAAGAGTTCCGGTATATCGCCCGATGCTAAGAGATCATTGATGAGCATTAACAGTGGCTCGTCGGGTATTTGCGCGTCCGACATGAGGAAAACCGAAGCGACATTCTTTAGTCCTACTTTCATGTACAAAGCGGCAAATTCCTCTTTGAGGTTTTGTAAGCCAAAACCGCGTTTTAATTGTACTTGAAATACACTTAGTGACGAGATGAACGAGGCGAGACGTGCGAGTGTCTGTTTGCCCGAACCGCCAACGCCGATCAGTAGTGCATTGCCACGCGGACTTTCGAGTATGCGATTGATGCTGAAAGCGAAGATCCGAAATAGCTGTACATATTTATAAAGAGAGCAAAGTTAACATTACCGACAAACATGTATCATCGCATCCTCAAACAGCACCAAATTCATGTAACCCACCACCTCATTGTAGTTGGCTTGGGCCTCCATTAGCAATTGGTGTAGCATGTCCCAGCTGCGCAGCGGCATATATTTCTGATCTACGAGCGACTGCGCAAAGTGACTATATATTAGTGGCTCAGCAAACACGTAATCCTCATCGAAATCTTCAAAATCTTTCTTGAAGATATCGCGTATTGTTGCCTTGAAGGATTTAATGTCATACTGATCCACCAGTCGATCGTGGTAGACGCGATACGCCTCATGCACGTACAGACGTATCAAGTCGGCCGGCTTATTGCAGATAGTGCCGTTGCTCGCCAACATCGCACTGCTGACAGCGCTGTTGCCGCTTTGACTCGTCGGCGTACCACAGCTAAACATCAGCCCCTGATAGATGTTGGTCAGGTCACGCAAATTGAAAGTGTAATGGAATTTCAATGCAGTCGGCAGAAATGCGTATTCCACGCGCCGATGCAAGGCGATGCCGACTTGTACCAGCAGCTCAGCGATGCACTTGATTTCCTTGCCGAATGAGTTATAGGGATTGTCTAAGTGACTGTGCAAAATAGTGCCAAAGATGCATTGCAGTGTCTGCTCGGTGGGTGTTGCCACTGAAAAAACACAAAAGTGGCGCTGCAGTCTTGGGTCGATGGTAAACGAACCAGCCGTGGGATTCATGCAGGCCACAAATTGGCAGTGACGTATGTCCTTTAACTGTAAGCGTTGCCGATCGTACCTGGGCAACGAATTATCTTTATTTTAAGAATAACACTTTTCAATTTGCCGACTTTTAACTCACCATTGTCGATAGTCCATGAATTGACGTATAATCGTATGGGGCTGTACGGTGCCATACACATCCACTTCCGGCATATTGAGATCATTTACGAAGTAAACTAGATGTCTATTGGCGCCACTAGGTGCATAGCACCGTCCCGATTTCTTTTCCAGTGGCCGCTCGAGTATCTTCTGAAAGATCTCAGACGTGGTGTAGTAGTTGAAATGCGTCGTCTGTACTGCAATGCTTCGTGACCTGGCCGGCGATGTTAATAGCTTACTGCGTTTTGAATCTGATAACTTTCTTTGTTGCGTAATAGCTTCTGGCTCGGTCGCAGTATCTTGTTCGCTCTCGTATGTGGCGAAAAGCTCGCGAAAAATTGCGCTTTTACCGCAACCCGAAGTTCCGACCAGCATGCAGGCGTACCTACGTCCGATAAGTAATTTCAGAAAGTATGCGAGACGTACTGTTTCTGCTGTGGGCACCAGGATGGTCTAAGGTGGGAAAAGGTGGGGTCAAGTTTTTTTTTAAGTATTTTGCACTTTTATTCGCAGCATAAGCAACTGCCATCTACATATGTATGTACGTACCTGTATTGGTACTTCAGTGTCTATCGGCTCAATTTTTTGCGCCAACGCCAACTCCGACCAACGTTGAAATTTATTTGTGCGCAAATCCAGTTGGTAATCAAAAATAGAATCTTGGGCAGGCAGCTTGACGTCCTTGAATTCGCTTGTCCACCATTTGTGAAATTCACGTCGCCAGTCAATAATGTGATCTTGATGCAGCGCTGAACCGAACCCCCACATTGTTGCATAGATGAATACCAATTCGATTGATAAGTTCAGGGTATCTTTTGCAGTTTCACTGGGGTTCACAAGGCTGTGGGTATCAATGGCGTTTTCTTCGATTCTATTCACCTAGAGTTGAGGACAAATATTAGTAAATTTTTATAAAAATATCAATCCAAGAGCTATTGTATTTTGACAGAAAGAGCGCGTGGTATAAATAAAGTTGTTCTAGGCGGTGATTATTCAACGAAAACTTTCGTCGGAACTAAGCAGACAAAGATATGAAAGAGACATACACTTTTTCGCCGGCTTCGTTAAACAACTCATTGCTGTACTCTGCACTTGTGTCTTGAGCTCCTATGAAAAGTCTTTAACAGCCGCAAACAATTATAACATAGGTGCGCTGAAGGTGTCAACAAATCAAGGTTTATCTACCGCTTGCTTTGGGGCAAAACTGTCGCGACAGGATGGGCCCCAGATCAGCTTTACACTTTTTGACGGCACTGGCCCAGCCTGCCGCGACAGTTTTGCTAGTGTTGTCAAAAAGCTAGGTAAATATAGTGTAGGGGGTATACGAAGCTGTGCAGTATTGGTCTGTTAGTTGGGTCCTTAGGGGAGCACGACCTCTTAAAGACGTAAAGTGTTATCTGCGGCATAAGTTCAGTGAGTTCTTTTTACGGATGAGCCCAATTTAGACTAAAAAGAAGACAGGCGATGGACTGACGAAGCACTCAAGAGTCGTTGGATAAAGCCTGGTTAGGGCTGACTTTCTTTTAGGTCCCTTACAATTTAGACTGATATGAAAATCAGGTCACAGTGCCATTGGGAAACCTAACAGGATGATTAGTACATTTTGACGCCCTGAGTGCCTGACGAGATTCGACAGCTAGCAGGAGGAAAGTACATATATTTACATATATAGTAGAGCATTTACAATCTGCCATAGATTACCATCTGTAGCGGCGGTAGACTATCGAACTAAAAAATTAGCTCGTTAAAAATTTCTTCTAATTTAACTGGTCTCAAGACCCATTTGGGTATGATTAATTCTAATGGACTATACCTACCCGTTTGAGCGCGTGCAGCAAACTCTCGAGCAGATGGCAAGTCATTTGTATCATAGCCATTTCGCTGATAGGCGTCGTACGTCGAAATGCACGCTGTCTCGTCATAAGGTTGGGGAAATATTTCTCAAACAGGGCGGTGAGTGTGCCTCTTTCAATGGGATCGTTACGCGTTTCTATCCACGACAGCACATAACTAGAGAAAGCAAAAATTCAGCATAACAAATTACTTAGTTTTCTTTCATGTCTCACAACTTACGGAGCCCAGCCCATGTCTTGTGGGTTAATATACAAAATACCAGCCCTGGAAACCGTGGCTGGTGTGGCCGCCTTGAGGTGACCCACCTCAAAGAGCAATCGCATTTCTCGCTTCAAAGTGATACGTTCGTTGCTTGCGAGCGTTAATATTTTATTGTCATCCATCAGTGTATTCAAACTCTCGATCCACATGGGGTCAATATCACCATCAAGCACAATCCACTTGGGGTTGCTCGCTGGTAAATTTGTCTGTTCGCGCATTATCGATGAGAAGAGACCATCCTTCCATTCGCGCGTTGTCGGGTTGACAACCCCGAATAGTTCATCATTCGATAAGGCTTTTGGATTGATTACACTACAGACGGGTTTCAATTTCTGTATGCGATAGGTTTCAAGAAGTGTTTGCCAAATTTTAGTTTTTCCTGTGCCAGTGTTGCCGACAATGAAAACTGAATGTCGAACATCTAAAAGATCTTGCAGTTGCACAACTTTCATTAGAAAGCCCTCCTCAGGTTGCAGCTTGTTCTCATTAACTGCACGCCTTATAGTTTTTTCAAACTCAAAAATGCGCTTGCGCGGCACATCCAATGTGGGAAAGAGATCGCCAATAAGGCCCATGAATATGGCCACATCCTCGGTAACAATTTTCGGTATGTTGAAATCGCGCAAAGCACGCATGAGCACCTTAGGAATCAATACGTAATCTAACAGTAACTGCATGCAAAACAAATTCAATGCTACTCACCTGATCTTCCGGTCGACTGTGATCGTCGCGCTTCAATGTGCCCGCCACCACCAACACAGACTTGATAGCGCGCAGTCCCCAATCGTAATGATCCTGCTTGGACAACAGTTCTCGGCACAGTGTGTAAAGCGTTATAAATTTGCGTGCAAGTATGCGCGCATCTTGAAAGCCCTCAGCCATTAGCATGATTTCGCAAATGAGTGCAAAATCTGGTACGACCATGGCGCAAGGGCGAAAGAGCGTCTTCAAATTTTCAGGCAATTCAGTACGTCCCGCGTAGCCGGGATTAAGTGTGATGAATATACCCACCGTTGGCACCAAGGCAATGGACTCGCCCATAAATGTAAAACGCTCACGATGCATCTATAACAAGTTAGGTCAGTATTTACTACCCGGCACTCTGTAGTACTATTTTTTTGCAAGTGCATGTTTAGTTAATTGTACCTTAATTGCGTCTTGTATAGTCTTCACCTGCACGGCTACAACCGACAGCACCTCCACTGCAATGCGATTGAATTCATCAAAACAACCCCAAGCACCAGTTTGTGCTAGTCCTTTATAGATGTTGCCACAAGACTTGTAGTCCATTTGCTCCGAGCAGTTAAAAACGTAAACCATCATGCCAAGTGCTCGCCCTAGATCTTTTGTGGTTTCGGTTTTGCCGGTGCCTGCCGGGCCAGCGGGTGCGCCGCCCATTACAAGATGCAGCGACTACATTAAAAATCATTATTAAAACATGAAATTTTTGGCGTCCAACCTTCCATTCATATAAAGGTATTGAATACTGCCTAGGCTCGATTTTATGTACCAGCAATTTAAATTAGGGACTACAATAATGGGACGACGGAAATGTATTTTGCCGCATTTAAAGTCTCAACCGATTTCACGAGACATGCACCTAAATATGAAGAAGTCTCAAAGAAATGTTTTTCCGAAAAATCTTTCTTAGGGACAGACTTCCAAGCCAGTGTTTTCAACGCCATGCCTCCCTCTGGCGTTGCAACTGTCAAAGCGAATTTAGCTGAGTGAATAAAACACGCTAGCCTTTTCTCATCTATGCTAACTGCCGTGCGGAATTTTAAAATAGAATTTCTCACCACAGCTGTCCTCTGATACGGAGAAAAGCCATATAGGTTGTCTATCAGAGATAAGAAACCCCGCGTTCCAAAGAAAGAATCTGAAAAGTACTGTTTGTTTTAATTATTTTGGGAAGGTTTTTCTGTAAACTTCGTAAAATGAAACTTCTTTTGAAGATTTTTGGTATTAAAACAAAGCAAGAGATGGTCAGACATTTCTTCGGAACCCAGTAAATGTGTACATCCGTATCAGCTTATATTTATTCACCAACGATAATAGTGCCTCTATCACAACTTGGCTGTCAATATACAGATCTATTTGTTAATTTATTTGGCTAATGCTACAATTGTCCGAAAGCTTATAAGACTTACTAAGCTCGAGCTGGCACGTCTACACCCTTGTCCCATCCGCGTAAACATTTAGCGAGTGAGCCATCCTCATGGCCTCACCTTCGACCTCGGTCGTGATTCCGAAAATCGCCTCCATATATATATTCTTGGCCAACAGGTCCGCTGTCAAATTTGCTTAGAATTACACGTAGAAACCTTCTGTGCTATACGTGCAAAGTTGAAAAAATCTTCCATACTAGTTGATCCGCCCTAAAGTATACTATGCATATGTTGACATATTAAACCTGTATAAACTTTACCATGCAAGACAATACAACACTTATGTATGTAAGTCTAATTCTCTAATAATAGGGTATTCGAAAGGAAGTGTTTAAGCTGTGAAAATATAATTAATTTAGCGAATAATTTTCTTAACGGAAATGAATAATTTGCCGGCGCGGCGTTGTAACGGAAACAGCAATGTGAGCTTTGATTACTTTACCTCTGATGAGGAGATAACACATATCGTCATTTAAAGGACAAAACCGCGTATCGTCATGCTGAAGAAGCGCGTAACTGACATTTGCTGCCAAAAATTGGATTTGCTTATACAAGTGCTTGGCTCGATCTTTATCCATTCGTCCTGAAATATACTAGCCAGAAATGCGATTGCTTTATAGAAAAGCGAACCATTTTGGAATATGAGTGTTTTTACTCTCTAGAAAATAATTCACGCAACCTCACATACTCGGTTTTACATTGTCTTGTTACGCGGTTTTGTACTTTAAACGACGATATGTACTGTGTTTAAGATATATAATTCATGTGCGAATATTTATTGGAAAATTAGTTGGGTTCTCATTCAACAGAAGAGGTTAACTCACATTATTTATGATTGATGCCTTACCACGGCTCTCTCTCTTTTTCTCTCTTACCTGCGTCAGAGTAATGTAACATCTATCTGTGAGCGGTGTTATAACAAGTCTTGACGTATTTCCAAGATATTCATAGGCATAGCGGAATTCCGCATCGCAGATGTTCGCAAAACAGTCCTCGTCAGTTGCTGCTGGCCGGCGCTCTGTCTCGAGCATAGCATCATCCCAGCGATGTCGCAGCTGACTTTGCCACTGAAATGCCAGCGCACTATCGACCTTGGCCTGTATGATTTTGCCGACCACGTCACGCGAGTGCACATCGATTGTGCACACGGTCATTACCTTTTGACGATCGCCGGGTGTGAGTTCGCCCAACAGCAAGTTGATGAGTGAATTCAATTGCGTCATCTGGCGCTTATGCAGATCCTTCATGGCCGTTTCGTAACCCTCATCCATCCATGCAAATGCGCGATTTACATCTGCTGCCCAAGCGATTTGACTGCAACATAAAGCGACTTGCGCTGGCCATTCGTGTAGCCACAATTCGCGTGACTTGTCCATGTGTGCGGCAAGCGCGCGCCTAAAGAGTTCATGCAAAGTGGTACGCATTTGCAAGATTACGCCATTCAACCATAATTCCACACGTTCTGCACACTGCACATTGGGTGCGGCCACATTGGCCGCCGCAAAACGCACGTACTCGTCGTTCTCCTTTGAGTGCATACCGATTGCGCAGTATGGGCCACTGTCAGCGCACGTATTATATTCAAGGCGTAGTATGGAGTCGAAAAGTTTAATGAGATGCCGATCAATAATGCGCGGGCAGTTACCATTCGAGAGTATATCGAGTAGATCTACTGCAGAGATGAAGTAGAAACGTGGGAAAACCATACGTTTGGTCTCTAGGTAGTCATTCAAAGCCTTCTCACACACCGCTAAGCGCTGTTGCAGCAAGGTAAGCGTTTCAAAAATGTGCTCACACTGCAAAACGATTTGCATGGCGATGCCTAAGCGTTTCACTTCGGCCAACAGATGTGTGAACTCACTGTCGATGATCTCGAAGTTTGCGGCGTCTGATGGCAGTTGAGCGCGAATGTCGGCGGTACCAATGAAAATCGCCTCCAAGTAGACCCATTTGCGTTGCACCTCAAACCAACTGCCGATCAGTGTATCGATATCGCTGAGTATACGTTGCCAGTAGGTCAGCTTATTGAGGAGGTATTCAATATTCTTGGAAGAGGCGATATTTTGCAGCTGCATTTGATTATCGTCAAGTGTCTCCATTAGCTCCTCTGAAACTTTAAGTAATTGAACTTCTGCGCGCCGCGGGTGTTGTTCCGTGTCGAAATGCATACGTGTCCAAGTATTATTAATTTCATCTAGCACTTTGGTGACTGTCATTTCTTTGACTGCGCGATCGACGGTATTTTTGATTTCCTCTTCGTGCAAGTGGAGTTTAAGTTGTAGTAGTTGCTCGAGCGAGGTTCTAGTGTCACATTTGAAGGAGAGCTAGAGAGGAAATTGTTTTTGTTAATGTAATAAGTAGTTGTGAGGTCAGCCAATAAACACATTATCTCTCTCGAAAGAAAAGAACAATTTTTAGTTAAATTTAATTTTTAAAATTATGTTGAAAACGAATATGGTGCTGTAGATATACATATATCGAGAAATGTATCGCTTTTCGAAAATACGGGAGAGTAAGATTTAAGGTGGCCTGCTTCACATGTTACCATCCTATTAATTTTTTACAAATCGAATAAAACCTTGCTAAATTTATCGATGAATGTGTTAATATATAAAAATAGTTTTAGATCGATAGTAATATCGATAATTTTATACAATATAGATACAAGTTATCGATAATTGTATCATTCTTCACCCAGATCACATGTTCAATAAAAAATCTTAGTTTCTTAACTTAAATTAAGCTAACAACTTTTGAGTTGAATCTAACTAAGTAAGTACTATGTCCACCTGAACGAATAAATATTTAATTGCAGTTGGAATTTGCAAATATTTTACTAATTGTATTCATTAATATCTTTGCTGTTTGCATTGAAACTTAATTAAAATTTATTTCATTTTGCTCTTGGTTATACAGTCGCAAAGGTGGTGTAAATCTTTGGCTGGTTGTCCACAAATGTTTCAGCGAAATTTCGACTTATATGTAGCTAAATATTCTATTTACCACAAAATAATCAAAATATTATTGGAAAATACTTCAAGCGGTTAAATATGTAGAATTCCACTACTTTGTACGAGCAAACACATATACCTATTGAGCTTTTAAGGGCCATAATAAAATCCACATATAATGCTGAGCGCAAATTTTCAATATATATATGAAAGATGTGTATGAATGTGTACGTGCATTTATCCTTAAGTAAAGAGCGACAATTTGCTATTTGATTAACGAAATTCAGTTTCACATAATTATTTTTCAAATCTCAAGTGTTAGAATTTGGCAAGCAGGTAGATAGATTTCTTTGATGCATTAGGCAAAACTTCTTCTTAGAACATTTGATTTATATTACTCATACGCACTGTCATCCCGCTGAGGGCTTATTATACATACAAACATATCACGTATCAGAGATGTTGCGAATATTTGCATAATCGCATTCGTTATGCGAATGATTCGCATCATTTTACACAATCGCATTCGACATTCGCATTCGCATCAAATGATACGAATGGTTTGCGAATGCGAATGTGTACATGGGCGGAGAGTCCATGGGCTTTCGAAGTTCGAAATAGGACCTTTGGTAAAAATGATTTTTAATTATTCTACGTAAATAACTAAAAGAGTAAACGGTATATAACTTTTTTGTGCAAACCTATAATACAAGTACCACAAAAACAAAGTTATATACCGTTTAACTAAGAGCAAAAGGCATTCCACGACTATGTTTTTACTTTTTTAGTAGTTTACATAGAGTAATTAAAAATATTTTTTCTACCAAAGGTCCAATTTCGAACTTCGAAGGCCCATAGCTCGATTTTGGAAGATGCATATAAAGATTAATAATTTTAGATAGCTGGCAACCCTATTCAAAATTATTCCTTCGGGTTAAGAGCGCATTTAAATGTCTTTCATTTGCTGAACTCAATGCAAATTTTTTGTCAATATGTATAAATTTAGTCACTAAAATTTTAAGCGGTTGGAAACCCTGATAAAAAGTTTTTTTTTTACAAACAAAATCGTATTAACAAATATTTAATTTCCAGAAACTCACTAAATGTTCCACAGAATGTTGTTGATTTAGCTGTTTTTGTCGGCAGGAAAGGGTGAAAAGAGAAAATTAAATCAAATTTTCTTATTAAAGAGAGCATTTTCGACCAAAAATATTATTTTACATAGAAATTTGAATATTCTTTCTCTCGTAAAAAAGATGATCACCGTATGTATTTGCAAAGATTTGTATAAAAATTATATCCCTGCATATAAGATATTTCTTAGCTAAGAGCCACTTGAGCTTAGAAAATAGTTCGCAAGAAAAATCACAAGTAATATGTATTTTTCATTATTTCCTTAAAGAAATAAATATAGGAGCATTTTTTTCTTGAGAACTATAAACTGATTAAAAAAATTTTGATAGAAGAACTTTTCTGTTTAATTTCTTTAAATGAATTTTTCTTATTTAACCGACTTCCAAAAAAGGAGAAGGTTAACCGATTTCGACAATTCTTTCTCTATTGGAAAGGTAGTCCACTGGTTGATCATGAAAAAATTAACGGTACTCCTAAATTTTTATATGGGAATTGATTTCGGTTGTGCAAGTTTTAGCGAAATCGGTGCACTTTTACTAGGTATATTTACAGTTTGTTTGGCATCCATCCTTGCGTGCCTTTGAATATTATATTATACAATATGTTCGTTCATACATACATACATATGTACATAGGTACATAAATATATCTATGCAATGTTACCTTGGTCGCCTGCATCAACTCAAGCCAATGGCGTTCGCTTATAGCTGGATTTTGTAGCTCGGTGATGGCGCGCAATGATGCCATCAACTCCTTGAGGATATCGACTATGTAAACGTAGGGCGCCCAATCGCGTATGCATTTATCCAGCGTGCGTAGATCGCGCGTAAATTTTTTGCATTCTGTTTCCAATTCATCAGTGTCGATGTTATGCCACGCTGTAGTATGCCATTCAACTATACATGATTCAATGACGTAAACGTAGTCCCATAGTTGCTGCAAATATGTGCAGATATATTTTTATTGTACAAGGATGTTGCCATGAGTTAAATGGTACATATGAATATGAAAACCAAGGATACCACAAAATAGATACATATATCTACTTTGTCATTAATTGTAACCATCTGTGCATATGATATCAAAGCTTAAAAATATCAGCTTTAAAAATTATCTACAACTACCAAAAAATAATTGAGATCTTTATTTAATAAATTCAGAGACATTACAATTTTCTGTTTTATCGAAAAACGTTGTTCCATAACAGTTATTAGATGAGACATATCTATATTTCATTTCGCCAATAACAGTTATAATCCCACGTTTATTTTTTACGTTGCCTGATAACAGTTATTTCTCACCTCCTCTTTTATTTTCATCATCTTTATCTTTTTCTCCATCTCCGTTTTCGTCAATATTCTTATCGTACAACGAGTCGTCTTTCTACCCAAAGCAGGTAAGAACAACCCAGTTTTCTCTAAGCAGTACAGGCCCATAAGACTGACCTCATTCCTCCTTAAAACGCTGAAAAAATTCTTGACACTGACATCAGGGACACTCTGCCGCCAGGCATGGTGGCCAAGACCCAACATGCGTACACTAAGGGCAAGTCCACGGAGACTGCACTAGACTCGTTAGTACAACACATCGAGAAGGCTATAGAATACAAATGATACGCTCTAGGGGTATATATAGATGTTTACCGAGCATTCAATAATGTCTCAAACGAAGCTATTATGAATAGCATCGAATCAATGGGGGTTGAATCTGCTATTTCGCTGCGGCGCAGGAAGGAAAATAAGAGCGGACTAGAACGACGCCAGGGTAACCAGACGGGCATGCAGAGTCACACCGCAAGGTGGCGTACTCTAACCACCATTATGGCTACTAACGTTCATCAAATTACTAAAGGAATTCGAGTGGAAACTCCCCGTAATAGTAACAGGGAAGTACCCACTTCGACAATATCAGTAATGTAATGAACAGCGCCCTGAAAGTCGCTGATCGATGGACACTTCGGGGCTAGGGTTTAACGCAAACAAAAGAGACTTTATACTCTTCACAAAAAGATATAAGGTCCCAGTGGGGAGACCCCCGAAGCTAAGTAGCATCGAGCTGTCAATTAAAGATCACACAAAGCCCTAAGGGGAAAATCTCTAGTTCTGAACTGGTGCGCTTCTAGTACATTTAGACTCAGTACTGGTTTGCGATAAATCTCTTTTTCATGCAAGCAACTGGCAATTTAACATGGCGATGTCCTAGGAAGTGTCGATTGCCCCCCGCTGCATCCCTTTTCCGATAGTTCCGAACTACTCCTACGTTCTTGAACAGTTTTCCGAGATACGGCGTTTTCGAACCGGTTGTCGAGATAGGTTGATCTTCCACTCAGCTATCGATATGCTAATTTAAAACTTTCATTTAGGTTTAGATATGTAATTAGATTGTACCACTTTACAAGCAAACGAAAAAAGTTCGCCGTGCAACCTTGAGTCTAACGTATTTTCGTAAGGCAATTTGGATTTTTTTGACCGAACCTAGTTCGCCATTTTACATTTTTCGGTGGCACATACATTCGGCAATATATATATTTTTTGAATTGTTCTAGTCGAATAATTGCAATACATCCTTAGCAAAAGTTTAATGGTTTTTGGCGAGCTTTAATTTACTGACATTAGGGTGGTACACTAGGCTGATAAGAATTGAGTTGTGGTGGGTAAGTGCTTTGTACAACGGTATGGTTTAGATCAAAGAACTTTGTCACAAAAAAACTTGCGACCGAAGATATCACAAAAAATTCAAAAAGGCGAACTTTTTTTTTTGGTGCGGTCTAATGTACCTATTTATATGCTTGATGATTAACTAACCTTGATGCGTTTTACTTCAGCGGCACACAGTTGCAATGCTGTTGGATCTGCAGCGTCAATACCCAGAAGAGCAGCATAGTGAAGATATCGGCGATGAAGCGTAGCAAAGTAATCTAAGCGCGCACAAACTCTATCGCACTGGTTGTACACATTGTGGCACGGAACGTAAAAGAACTGAAATGCAGGCATGAATTAATAAATAGAAAAATATGTTTTAAAAATAAAAAGGATCCCAGTTTTATGCCATTTGTTAATAAGTGTATTCATATAAACGCGTAAATGTACTTAATTTTGTATTGGAAAACCCGGATATTTACGAGATTTACGCTTTTATGAGGGATTGAAGAGTTTAGATAATACCATTATAAATAAGTATCACCACAACCGCTTTTGATAACACGAGGAGAAGCTGCCTCTAAGGGTACGTTCACACAGAAAGCGGTGCCGAGCCGAGCTGAGTGAAGCTTTCAAATTGCTGTAACTATTTATAGGAAAGTGTTCAAAAAGTAAGCTTTTTCAGAAGCCTTTTGGAGATGAAAGTAAAGCAGTTTTTGATTTTGAATTTTCTATTTAATATTTCAACGCCATGTCGCTGTCGCAAACAAGATATCAAAATATTCAAACAAAAACGAATTTTACAACCAATATTTTAAATAAAATTAAGCAAATATTTTTACCGCTTTTCATTAACGGTAATTTTTGTGGTATTTTTTTGCAGCCGAGTCCATCAGAAAAACTTCGCTTCGCTGCGTTTAGTGAGAACACCAGCAGCTACGCTTTGTTCCGCCTTACTCAGCTCGGCACCGCTCGGCTTTCTGTGTGAACGCACCCTAAGACGCCATATACAAACCGCAAACCTAATACGGCTAATTAGAATGACCTGGAATACAACTTTCTATTCAAGTAGAAATTAACCGCTCCGAGAACCATTGGAGCCAAACAAAAGTTTTGCTAAACCCACTGGGGTAATAGTAAAATCCCTAAATAAGTTCGGAGTAGACAACAATTTAGGCTTATCTGCCGCATACTTCACACAGAGTTATGGCTTGTGCTCGGCTTTCCACGATCGTTGGCATTTCGCTTGTGCTGTCCGATGCGGTCAAAGTTTCGGGAGTTATCCTTGGAAGCCCACTAACTTGGTGCTGGTAAGAAAAGCATCAGTTGCTCTATATAGTACTATCTAAGTGCTATGAGATATCTACTATATGCTGATGTATTGGAAACCTTAATGAAGCCAATTACGGTTACATTGCGTCACTGTCTGATAGAACTAACTTGAAAAGCCTACTCTTGTTAAGAAGCTGAGGCGCGTGAAATTTGCCGTCCCTGTTGAAAGGGATCGTTTCACATTAGGCTCAAAATCTCTGGTTTTTCTTTTTATCCGGTGTGCGATCATTCGACAATTCTTGGAAACGGAGTGATGCGTTCCGAAGCAGGCTGCGAACATATCCTTTATGTACCTTTAAGGGGTTCATTGTAGGGTGGAAACATCTGAAATAGAGGCCCAATAAATATCTTCGCGAATGGCTCATGAACACTTCGCAAATCTTTTGAACTGCCTGATTTCTACAGAGTTTTTCAGGAAGAGGTGGTCTCCGATATAACTAGTTGGGTTGGTCGATCGCCTCGGGTTACTTCAAAATCAAGTTCAAAGGAGTCCCAGAATAGAGGGAAATTGCAGGGAATTGCATGGCTCGTGAAGTAACTGCCCCCTCCACTCTGGACAGGATAAGCATTCTGGTAGAATACTCTTTGACAGATTCGCTCAAAGTCGGCTGGGCGAAATCTCCCGCATGTATGATTCCAGGAATAATCCACTAAGTGGTAACACAATGGAAAACATGCTAAAGTCTAAGTAAGCTTCTCGTAGGGCTCCCACCTGACATAATCTTACCTAGTTAGTAACAGCAGATTTTATTGCGATGACGTTAAAGTTTATTCTTATTTTATTTTATACTCACCGGCAAGCGTGGAAATTGTTTAGCATAATTCTGTAAGTGACACATATATATGGCAATCATCGCATTAACACGTTCACGTTGATAGCGTTGAGCGTCCTCCAAAGCCTCCGAACGGACGGCAGCAACATCCTTCAAATGCTTCCACTGCAGTGGCAAATGATCGATTTTACGCAAAAGTTGTTGATCAAATTGCACATTATATGCTTTCAGCAAAGCTATAATATCCTTGAGGGGCTTAAACATATTATCTGCATATGTGGCATGCTTTCGAATTTGTGCCATAACAGCTAAAACACGAAGCAAACGACGAAAATTCTTCACACCAACCGGCAGTTGTAGAATTGCTAAGCCATGGCTGATAAATTTGGTCAGCTCCTGGTGCATTAAAGAACAGAAAGAGAGTGCATACTCGAACATATAAATACATATATGTATACATATACAATTTATACAGCGCTTACATTTAGCGTGCGTTCCACGTAGTGCAGCAACCAGCGTTTGTACAAGTGCGTCCATTTACAAATATGGTTTATTAATGCATATTTCAGCGGATTCAAGTCGATGCTTAGCCAACCGTTTATGCGCTGCTGGCCAGCCAGTTGCTCGATGGCCTCATGGTGCTCATTGTAGTGATCAATCTGGCAATAGAAAGAGATTAAAAAAATATACACATACATACATGTATATGGTTGGTTGCAAAAGCAATACATAAAACATTTTTAAAACAAGCCTGAGGCACTGAGAGACACTTAAAAGTGGTTGCCCAAAGACAACTTAAAACAGCTGGGCAGGCGACAGCCACAATTTAGCCAACCAAAAATGCGAGTACCATAAAAATATTCATAGAATAGAAGAATACAAAATTGTAAATCTGTAAATTGTTGGTCACTAATTAATCAGCAAGAAACTGACACGAGTACATTTGCGGTGAGAGACGCAGGTGCCTTATTTGCTACGGGCAATAAAATGCATGCATAATCTGGTGTTTCAATCTGGCAAACTTATGCAAGTACATAAATTCATTCATTCATTCATGTAAGTATAAACCATTTGTACGATAGTATGCGAAATGGACGCTTAATTTGGGTATTTTAATTTAATGCGCTCACGCAGCCAATACATTTTGCAATCACACACTTACATGCAATATTAGCAATTTACGAATGATTACAAATGAGTCATGTGTACTTATGGACATATGCATAATATGTATGTATGTATGTATATAAATAAGCATGCATGTGGCAGCAATATTTAGGGGCCTAGCTGGAAAGTAAATGATTACATACTCGTATAGTTGATGGCGGCTACGGAAAATATTCAACTTCCTTTGCGTATATTCGATGAGTGTATATGTAAATACAGTAGTGTTCAGCAAAAGGTTACCATTATTAAAGCTTAGCGTATTCACATTAGTTTTAATAAAAGTTTTCACCAAGCCATATGGTTGGGTTGCAATTTCATAAATTGTTATATACAGTGATGGGCACACTTAAATACTTTTGTGTATTTCAAGCATTTCTTTGGATGGAGAGGATTAATTAAAAAATCTAGTAAATAAAATTTAAGTATTTATCGGACGCTAAATACCAAAGTACTAAGGTAGTTAGTCGATTTCTAAATACTAAGGTTGCGTTTCACCAAACTCATTGAAGTGGAAGTTAACATCAAATTTAATACTCATTTAAATTTCTTTTCATCTTCAATAAACTGTTTATTTATGTGACTAAAAATATGGCAGCACCGTACTAAAAGTGGTTGTAAAAGCAGGCCTGGTAAACAGCTGATACACAAAATTATGGTGTGTGTATATTGATAAGCTGATTAAACGCGTAATAACTCTGAGTGTGGTTATTCTAATTTAATTTTTATTTAAGTGAAGAGCATAGGTCACTTAAATCAAAATTCAAATTGATTGGTGAAACCAAAAAATTCAAATCTAAATTAATTTTCACTAAAATGAATTTAGCTTTATTAAATCTGGTTTAGGAAAATAATAAAGTCTTTGCTTTTTTGTTTTAGATAGGAAAAGGGTAAATTTATTAGTGGCGTTCGGGATTATTTGATTCAAGGGGTTTTCCGATTTTTTCGTGATTTTTCCACAGTTCTTCGTGTTTTACATTTCGAATTTATTTTAAGAACTTCGGGTTTTTCGAGACTTTTCTTTGCTTTGCTTCTTTCCGGATTTTTCGTAATTCTTTGAAAAATATTTTTGCCGATTTTTCGGTACTTTTCGGGATTATTTCAGGATAAGTATTTTTGTACCCGTTATTTCATTAGGTAAAAGTAACTAAATGATTTTCTACTCAGTATGTAAGTCTTTGAGTATATATCTATGTATAAATACTTATGCTTCATTGACTTCAATAGTGTCGTAATCCATAAAATATAAATTTTGAGTTGCGTATGCAAATATTATATTTCTTTTGTGTCGTGTAAATATATCATAGCTGTATCGATTACCAGCATCTCACCAGAAATAAATATGTATGTATGTATATGTTTAGCTTTTTTGAGTTATAACATTATTGAAGTAAAGTGATAGTCGTTTTCGTTATTCGGAGGTTGTACTTTGCATATTTTGTTTCATTATAGGCTATATTCGCTAGATGGCGCTGGAGTTGAGTTATTTAGAAAACCAGTATTTATAGTACAATGTGGCTGAAATTTATAATGTATATTCTTTTTGTGATAAGCAATTCTTCTGTAAAAAATGGACCAAATAGATGGCCCTGCAAATATAGTGACCCAAATCAAAGGAATCTCTGGTCATTCAGATATTCCTGCGGCGACTGCATCCTTCCAAGAAAGAACACGGTAGGTCTGTACTATATACAAACAGCATTGGTAACCTTTATCTGGCCACTACTGTACATACCTACATATGGGTGAGTGTGTTGCGCAATTCCGCAATGGCTTCTGGTAATAGTTGACCGGTTTTAGTTGGAATATTAATGTTGTTTTGGCTTAGCTGCGGATAAAGCAGTACGCTTGTGTGGTAGCTCGAAATTGGCCAGCGGTCATCACCTCTTGAGAAATTAGCCAACTAAAATTGTTTGCATTATGAACAGCAGCTGAGGTAGTAGCAATTGCTGCTCATAAATAAAAGAGGTAGCAGTTGGTATTGGCAACGCACGGCCATTTGACTGCCAATTGTGGTGCTAATCAAAATTTCAACATTTCCTTGAGTTTGTTTTTTTTTTGTTGTGCAAAACGCCATCTCTAGCGTTGAGTGCATGTAATGGACTTCGGTTATGTTTGATATCGTAATTTAGTTAATATTTATACAAGCAGTGTTGCTGTGGTCGACTAAAGGCAAAATTGTACTCTTTTTCGATGCTTAGGGCCTCTTTACTGCGGCTTTTTCTTATAAGTTTTAATGGCTGAGGAATGACAACTATTACACCGTGCAACAAAAACAAAAAAATTCAAAAAACACTCAAGAATCGAAATATTTACTCACGAAACTATGGGCCAAATATAGTAAAACTGTGTTTGTAGTTTTTCACTCTGGCGTTAGGATTTTTTTCAAAGGACTTTGAAATTTTAGGGATATGATTAATTTAAAAAATTATTAAAAAAAATCAGTGTAATATAGAAGTACAATATTGACAAATGACAAATGAGAGAGAAAATTCTGTAGAATAAAAAAAATAAAGATTTTTGGTTTACAAGGACGAATAGGTATTGAAAATGAGCTTTCAATAAATTTTAACCTTTTCATTTATTACAGTTTGCAGGACGAAATTCGATGATGACGTCGTGTGTGTATTCGACTTCAGACAATAATTAAAAACAAAAAAAAAATAATGCAAATTTTCAAGGATATCTAAGAACAACATTTGCAAAGGACATTTTCCATATCCATTCGTCCTTATGCACCAAAAATTTATTCTGTGTTCCTTTATTGTTGGACTAGATTGTACTGCATTTTTTAAATATTTTTTTTTTAAATACTAATATTTTTTAAACTTCAAAGTCCTTAAAAAAAAAATCCTGATGTCAGAGAGAAAAACTAAGTACGCAGTTTTACTACACTTCACCCATTGTTTTGTGAATATATTAATTTTTATGTGTGTAAAATTTACTGTCGCATGGTGTTATCATTTCAATGTCGGAAAACGTTTGGCCAGCGAACGGCAAATGGTTTTTATGAGAACCTTTTTCAGTCTTTAAGCCTCAACATAATACAATTAATTACTTCACTCTAAAAAAAACTCAAGTTAAATTTCAGGGACCGTAATCATTATGAGTAAAATTATATAATAATAATTTAAATCCCTATTAAATCAATGCCCTATGAGTTTTATCATTTCGCCTAAAAAAATTATAATTATTTTTGAGTTTTATTTTTTCGCTCAACGGAAATATCTATTATTTGATTTATATTCTTTTCCATCACAAATAATGATTATTTTATGATTTTAATTTTTTCGCTCAGATATAAAAATTATTATTGATTAAAAAAATAATAAAGTAAAAATCAATTAATAAGAATTTCCTTAGAGCAAAAAAATGAATCTCACATATTATTTATTATTTTTAATTTTTAATTTTTATTGATTAAACTCGTAAAATAAAAATCACTGTAAATTGCAGTAGGACGTTCCGACACCGAAATTGTTTTACGACGATTAAAATTTGTTTATTTTTTTGGTTAAAATTTAAAAAGTAATGATTATTTTCCGTTGCTGTTAAATTTTGCCAGCAAATCAGATTCCTGCATACACAACTGTCGAAACTCTCCTTCTAAAATGAACTTAGCCATTTTTTTTCGACCACAACGAACCAATTTTCCAACTTGGACTAAAATTTCCTTCTGCATGTGTTTACATACATAGGCATGTATGTATAGTAGTATATCAACACGCGCTTTCGCACACATTCTGGATATCTATGAAAGCATCAAATGAATTTTCATAACAGTAACAAATCATTCATAAACTTTTCATATCTCTTTTTAGATTCGTTTTAAGCTAACATCCGTTGTAGATGACATTTAACCAGAGACATACTAGCCACTTGTCATCTTGGGGCCAATTACTTCTAAATGCCCAACATTTATCAAAAGTAATGGGTCATCAGAGTGGAACTAAAAAAAAGGTTTTAATAATCAATATAAGTGGGGTTATGCGGAAGCTATGAATATTGGAATTTGGAAAAATATCATAGCTCAATGAGATTTCAAAATTCCAATAAGTAAATAACAGTTCAAGTTTACCCTTGAATTGTATTACGGGCTGCTTTGCTAATATTGTCATATTTTATAAACATCTTCAATAAAGTTCTTCCGCTTAAAGCTAAACGCTACTTCACGTTATCCTCTCGCTGAGTTCAGGGAGTTTTTTTGTACGCAAATCTTCAATACTTTTTTCTTCTTTTCCATCGCGGTACATATGTACCTACTGGTGACTCACCTGCATTTTAAATGCCTCTAAAATGGCATAACCCTTTCCAGTCACAGCTTCGTTTTCGCAGGCAATTTGTAGTGTGGTGTGTAGCACCTGCTGGCGTTGTTGTTGCCATAGAAAAGCATAAGTGTTGAATTGCGCGGCAAAATGTTGTGCATCCTGGATTGTTGTGGCGAGTGCTGCCCGTATATCGGCATTCAGTTGGTTTAATTCGTCGGAGGAAATGTCTGTGAAGCCACAAAAGAAGAAAAACTCAAAGATGTATAAAATTGGAATATACATATATACATATTTATAGTACATACGTAGTTTTCGCAATCTTTTACGTAACACATTTACATATACAAATTTACATGACCAAATCTCACGAGTTGTTAAAATGTGTTTTTGGTCGAAGATGGTAGCACACTTACCTTAGAAATTCATTAACTTAAAAAAGATATGCTAGAAAAGTGAAAATAACAACTCGTGCTCATATACCCGTAGTTAACGTATACACCCCGGTAGCACCATACGCAGCAAAATAACACGTTTACTGGTACGCTTTAAGTTAATGTAATTTTTTTTAAATTCCGTAGCACACTCTTGAAACTTCACAGTTATGTTGTATTTGATGCCAAAGTCCATTGCATCTATTATGAACATTCTGTTTGAAAACTTCCCAAAGTTATTAACAAAAAAAAATAAAAAAATATTTTTTCGAGTGGCAATGAAAAAATTAGTAGTTTCAGTACTTTTTCGTCCATATAAACGTTTTAAGGTGAAAAGTGTTTAAATACTTGATTTATTTTTTATTGAACTTATTTATTGAAGTCCATTGATTGATATAAATGCATTCGCGTTTCGTTTTTCTTTTCTGGCGAGAGAAGGCGATAACACTAAAAAAATAAAATTGGTGAAATTTGCTCATGTGTACTTGTTAGCAATATAGTTATTAGCAGCGCAAAGGGTTTGTTTTGAAATTTTTCATTGAGCCCCTTGAACATACTACAACACAAGGATTCCAAGTTATAAATTATAAAAAAAAAATACAAGATTCGTTGGCATCTTTAGAAACATTCTCTAAGCAAAATTCAAATTGTTTTGCTTCTCAAGTAAAATGTCAAATTTGTGATAGGCGGCAAGTCTAAAACGTAAGAGAAAATCAAATTTTATTTAAAATGGAAATACTAAATAATTAAACAATCGCTAAAACAAGTAAAAGAGGCCTTCTAAGATCTCTTCTTTTTAGCATTTTAAAAAGGTAGTTCCTCCATGCTCGGCTGCTTATCCCATTCTTGTTGAATAGCATTATCCTGACGGTTTCCAAAAATTGACTTAAGCCCTGGCGATTTCAAACTTGAACTTTAAAAACCTGTATACTCAAAATCTTTTTATACCCGAGCGCACTTGTGCACAAGGGTATATTAATTTTGTTCACATAACGGTTGTTTGTAACAGCCAAAACGGATCGAGATAGATATAGACAAATGTATACATAAATGATCAGGATGAAAAAAGAAATCGATTAAGCCATGTCTGTCTGTCCGTCCGTCCGTCCGTCTGTCCGTCTGTCCGTCTGTCCGTCTGTCCGTGTACACGATAACTCGAGCAAAAATTGAGATATCTTAACGAAATTTGGTATGTAGGTTTCCCTTAATCCAAGGTAGGTTGGTATTGAAAATGGGCGAAATCGGACTTTAACCACGCCCACTTCCCATATAACGGTAATTTCCAGAAATACGAAAACTGCGATATTTTAGTAACTACTGAAGATAATTCACTCAAAATTGATATTTACAATAACTTTTAGACGAAAAATAAGAATATTATAAATTTTTGGAATATGGGCGTAGCCACGCCCACTTATGGTTACATGTGTATATCTTGGTAACCGCTGCACCAATTTCTTCCAAACTTGGCACAGTTGTTGGTCTTCGCACAACATACCAAATGGCCGAAAATTTTAAAAATCGCTCAATAACCACGCCTACTTCCCATATAACGGTAATTTTCAGAAATACGAAAACTGCGATATTTTAGTAACTACTGGAGATTATTCACTCAAAATTGATATTTATAATAAGTTTTAGACGAAAAATAAGAATATTATAAATTTTTGGAAAATGGGCGTAGCCACGCCCACTTATGGTTACATGTGTATATCTTGGTAACCGCTACACCAATTTCTTCCAAACTTGGCACAGTTGTTGGCCTTGGTACAGCATAAAAAATCGCCGAACATTTTTAAAATCGCTCAATAACCACGCCCACATCCCATATAACGGTAATTTAGAGAAATACATAATCTTCGATAAATCAGTAATTTATTCAAAATTGATGCTTGCAACAATTCTTTACCAAGAAATACGTTTATGGTAAAATTTTGGAAAATGGGCGTAGCACCGCCCACTTATGATCACATATAATTATATCGGTAACCGTTCTACCAATTTGTACCAAACTCGGTATTTTTATTGTGCTTGCTACATAAAAGCAAAACGGTGAAAATTATTGAAATCGGACTAAAATTACGGCCGCTTTTTATATAACGGTAAATTTCAGAAATGCTTGAAACTTCAATAATTCGAAATTTAAGGACGCTAATTTACTCAAAATTGATACACCCCGGCTTACCAACTAGCGGTAGCTTTCGGAAAGGTGAAAAAACATCTATTTAATACTTGCGCCGGGTATTTAATGTTCGGCTCCGCCCGAACTTAGACTTTCTTACTTGTTAAGAAATCTAATTGAAAAGCTTGGAATTTTTACGAAAGTTTATTGAATTTTTTCCAAAATATCGCACATATTTTAAACTTGGACCTTTACGAATTTTATCAAAGAGTATTTATTTTTTATAATGTTTAAATAAACGTTCAAAGGAATCTCTTCGAGTTCTTCAATCTTTAAATCTGACGTTTTAAAACGAAATATTTGCTGTCTATATGAATTGCGATGGCCCCATATGGTTATACAGCAAGCGAACGAAGTAGAAGTTTATAAACTGTTATAACCGTTACTATTTAAATGACCTTCACTAAAGTCAAGTATTTAATTAGGGAAGCGGGTTTGAGCACAATATTCTTTTGTTAGTTTTTGCTTTGATGCCGGACGTAATAAATTGCACCAGCTTACGATACTTTAACCACCCCTCCATATAATTGATATGCCCCTTCCCAAAGACGATATGTTATTGGAACAGTTTCCCGTAACAGAAAGTGCAAATAAAAATAAGAAGTGATTTTCTGAAAAATTATTTGTACCTACTTTTGCATCACTGCGGCTCATCGCTAATATAGAAAAAATAGTTAGAGTTGCCACCTGTTTGAAAAATGCAGTTTAAGTAAATTGATAAGATAAAGTAAATGTTGCAGTGTGGCTTCCAGCCGAAAATATTTTTATGGATGGTTGCCATCTCTTTGAAAACTTTAATTTAATTTAATGTAATAAGATAAATTAAGTATTGCTGCGCTGATTACTTTAGCCATAAGTTTCAATCATTTCTCAGCTGCATTTTGATAAAATACACATTGGCAAATATTTGTAGTTCGGCATTATGGAATAATACATTTTGTACGTATGCATGCAGTGCAATTAAGGCTTTGGAAGTTAGCCGCAATTAAAGAACGGATGACGACCTATTTTGCGTACTTAACTCTGAAGAAAGTTTCTTTGAATTAATAAGTGTGTTTCGGTGTAGAAATTTTAATTCATTTGTTCTGTATATTTATTGTTTATTGGTTGCATAATTCTCAAAGGCTACGGAAGTGAATTCATTTGCATTCTCAAGCCTACTTGGGAATCGTGCATCATGTTCGAAAGTCAGCATGTCGAACGCGGTTGCATGAAATTTCGGAATGCTTTGTTAAAGTAAGAAGTGTTTCCACATTGCAAACCCTGACACCAGGCCGTCTGAAGTTCGCACCAAGTTTGTTGTAATTACTCATAACTCTATAAAGGACGAAGAGCGCCAACTTTAAAATAAGTGACAAGTTTGCTTTTAACAGATAAACTGATTTACATACTTATTCTTATAACGCAACGTATTCATCATTTTAATTCAGTGCAAAGCATAAAAGTTCTAGCTTCTTCACCTGTGTCACTTGCCAACATAGCGCCAGCAGCCAATGCATCTTCATTGTCTCGCTGTGAAATTCGACTTCGACCCACTTTAGACGCTAGCTGTTGCAGTTGCCGACGTTTAGCCGCTGCCACTTCATGCAACGAACTCATAACCATCCTTGTCGTGTGTGTCTGCTGCCCCGGCACTTCTGCTTTGCCATGTTGGCGTTGCAACAGCTCGCACCTGCCAAAGTTTTTGTCTTTCGCCACGTAGTGATTATTATTGTTGCATTCTACTATATTTACCGCACCGTCGTCATCACAGCTGCCACTATTTTGAATTTCATCTTCGTGGTGGCCGTCGCCACCAGCGCAGTCGTTGTCTTCGTCTTCGTCTTCATCTTCGTTGTCATCAGACAGCGCCTTATCGTCAACAATTCGTCGTGGCATGCAGCCGTGGCTAGTCTGGTGTATGTCCTCCAGCAGCTGCTCGACAATTTGTTGAAAATTATTTTCTTCGCTCACGTTGAATGATGGCACGAAGCGTATTTCCGTATTTGTATGCGGCGGCGCATCCGTTGCAGTTGGCGCGTCCGCATCCGCGTCCGCCTCCGTCTTCGCCTGTGTTGTCCTCCAATTGGCTGGCAGCAACTCTAATTTCACCTCAAAAAGCGGCATTGCGGTTGCCGCAGACATTACAGTTTGTCTGTTCACTTGTTGTTGTTGTTGTTGATGGCTGTGTTGTTGGTGGAAGTGGTGGTGGTGGTGGTGGTGAGGCGGTGTTTTAGTTCTGTTGCTCATTGCAGATCCTACTCTGTGTGGCGTTGTTGTTGTTGTTGTTGTTGTAGGCGTTACTGCCATTGTAGGTGCCGATTTCACCGTCGTCGCTGTTTGTGGGCGTAGTAACAACAACTGTTGTCTGCTGGTTGCTGCCGCACCTGCTTGATTATGAGGTAAATGCTTTGCCTGTACCCCCGCAAGTGTGTCATCATCATTCGCAGGTGTGCTTCTCAACGAAGTGTCTGTCGCTGCTGTTGTTGTCGCTGTGGTTGTTGTTGGTATTGTCGTTGTCATCAGCGCCGCTTCAATTTCGTTTGCTTTTGCCATTTGGTTGTGAAAATACACTAAACTGTTTGGGGAGGAAGAGCACGGCCGCCGTGGTGTGCGACAGAGCGTATGAGTGATGTGCAAATTAAATTGAGTGCACGTTGAGTGAGTTACACGCAAGCTTTGCATGCAAAAACAGACAAATAACGGTATGTGTGGCATGTTTTCAAAAAAAAAAAAAACGCACAGCGAGAAATGTGAAAACATTAAATTGTGTTAAGAGGAAATAAAAAAAAAAAGGCACATGGGCGTTGTTGTGGTGGCTAGAGGAAGAAGGCGAAATTTCGACGTCACTGCAACAGCAGTGTTTTTGTGGTCAGGAATTTCGAATACGTGCGTATGCTTGTATGCAACAATAGTTGCAACTTTACATTGAATTTGTAACTATGAAATGTTTTAAAGGGAGGCCAAAATGTGTAAACTGAAATAAGAAAAAGTTTAATGTGTGAATTGCTAATTAAATTGTAATTGTGAGTTGAATAAATTGAGAATCCAGGGCAAAAATTACAAGTAAAAAAAAAAAATTTTACAAATAAAATAGTTACATGCATGATTAAGCTGCAGTTTTGCTGCTCATTAAAGGAAATAGGGGTAGTTCGAAGTAGTAGATGCAATAAAACAACAAGATCTTTGCATTATCTGATCGCATCAATGTTTGTTAAGTTTTTATAAAGCTGTTAAAAAACATTGAACTGGTCTCCATAGACTTTGTCTATAAAAAATTTTAAAAATTGCATGTTTTCTACACCACTTCCTCCATATCTGGCATATCTAAAAAGCGCACATATTCGTACATAGTTAATTCAATTTGTTCGCCAGCCCAGTTTGATTTTGCTAAGATTGTTTTCCACGCCGTTAGTTTTTATAAGGAGTTTACGACTGTCCCTGGCTACCCAGTCAGATGCAGCCAATGGTAGTGTTGTTGCCAACGCCGCCTCAAAATCAAAACCAAAATGAGAACAAAACTGTCCAGAATCTTCTAAATGGGAATTATATAAGAACAAAACCCTGTGAACAAAATGCGAACAAAATGCCCCGAAAGTAGGTCGTGCCCCTGTTCACCCTGCGCTGGACCATGGTACCACCCCACTCTGCTTCGTCATTTCTGTCACTGATTATGTAGTATATGCATGTATATACCACATGTGCTCTATGGGCTTAAGATCAGGACTCTGTGGTGGGATCTTCAGAAAATGTGGAATATTTTACGCCAAATATATCTTGCTGAAAATAAAAAAAATTTCGGCAACGCACAGCCCCACTCATTGTCATACCAGCATCCGGTTCTTTTTAGTATGCAGGTGGCCTTTAAGGCTTCCCCACGTATGAAAACACAAGGTGAAGGTAAGTGCAGCAGTGCGTCAAGAGCACTATACACCACTCAAACAAATTAAAGTTAAATAAAGAGGCTATCAAGCAACCATTTTGGTTCTTTACATCGAAACCAGATAAATTTTTGTGGACCCCCATTTACAACTCATGGACCCCCATTTTTTCACGTCACCGTGGACCCCCGTCGAGTCTCCAGTGGACCCCTGGGGGTCCACCTGGACCACTTTGGGAATCACTGCTCTAGTGGTACACCGGATGCATATGTATAAGTTGCGTATGTACAGAAAAAATGTTGGAATATGTCCTCTAGAATTGTTGAAAATTTACACTTAAATAATTTAAAAAAATAGTGCTCATAAAGACATTGACACATCGGCCCTTAGTGAAAATCAAAAATTAAATGAAAACTACTCGTAGTGAGGGGTTTACGGTGTATTTCGTGCCAGATGAACATACATATAAACATTTCGCATAATAATAAAAACATTATGATATAAGTAATATGATATGATTATACACAGATATGATGTGATGCGATTGGATGATAATATGATGTGATGTGATGCGAGTAGTGTGATAAATCACCTATATTTTACAATCAGTCGGTCGGCGCGTTTGATCAGCGCCAGATGAAATATGGTATGATTTACGAATTTGTTATGAACAGATATGATGTAATGCGATTTTATATTGATGAGATGTCATTTGATATGATTCGATATGTAATACGAGTGAAATGTATCACCTGACTTTAATAGCTAGCCGCACTTCGCGATCAATCAATGCCTCCACTTCGGCTAGATACTTGTTATAGCTGCGACGTTGATCTGTGGGAAATTTGCGCAAAAACTGTAAAAATAAATGTCATTTTTACCACATACATATACATATGTCAGTATGTGCATACACAGTAAGCGTCAGAAATATGAATATCCTGTAGTTCACTAAACAGCAAATTCAAGATATACAAAAAAAAAATTAATAAAAATTTGTAACTATTCCGTTCGATTTCTTAGAAAAATTACCGTTAATTTTTGAGAATTTCTTTTTGTCAGTGTATTTGCTTCTATGCAAAAACAGATTTTGTTCTTGCGTTATATGGAAGAATATGCGCAACACCCTTGACAAAAAAAAAATCTCAAAAATTAACGGTAATTTTGCGAGACTTGAAACTTGCAATTTATTACTAAAATTGAGTAGACTGCAGAACTGCATACTCAAAATTTTCGAATTTGAAAGTTTAAAATTTTGATGATTTTTTTTTAGTATTTTTAGAATTCTCCCGAGTTCTATATGAAATTGAAAAATATATTCTACTGGTTTTTGCTGTTGAATAAACAATATTTTTATAAACAAATAAGGAAAATTCGGTATGGCAAATATAAACAAATAAAATCGTCATAACGCTAGGGTATTCATATTTTTGGCGCTCACTGTATGTACATATATATGAAGGAGTTAGAATCATAAGGGTCTAAGTGACATTTTTTGAAAATACAAGTTATACCCATATTTGTATAGTTAAATTTAGTATTTATTTGGTGACAAAGACTAATCATTCTTTGAATTAGTTAATTAGCGTGCATTCATTTAGGCAAAAATCATTTCAAATGCATTTACCCAGAATTTACAACAAGTAATCAATTTTAACCTTAATTATCTCAAAAAAAATTTCAGATTTACTTAGATCCTTTTGATTCTAACCCCTCCATATGCATGTACTCCGCCTTAAATACCACCTCCTACATACCTCCTGTATACACTGTCCATCATGCCCTTCCACTTCACACCCCTGCTGGTCATAGTCGAAAAACAAACAAAAATTGATAATCAATAGGCGATTCAGTAGGCGTCGTGTTTCATCACATTGCATGCGTCGTTGGCGCAACCGTTCCTGTTGTTGCTGCATGTCGAGTAAGTTACGCCCATAGGCATTACGTTGGTGAAGCGGTTCACGACTCCAGCGGCGTATGCTCTGCACAATTGACAACAAGTTGTGTTGCGTTTGCTGGAGGCGATTGTAGAGTTGTCGTGAACATTCATAGATTTCATTCATCAAAGCCGTATCTGAGTGTGAGAAGCAAATTACATACGTACGTATGTATGTATGTAGATGAGTGTGAAGTGATGAATTTATAATTTGAGTAGTGATGAGGAAGGTGATGAAGTAGAAATGTTGCATTACTGGCATGCAGGGAAATTGCAATTATTGGTCACACAAATCACAAAGAGTGTCTTTGGTTTTAATTTTTGAAAAAAATAGGATACAGTCAATGAGGATTGTTGCAGAGTTGGTTATGAATTTGTAGGACGACGTCATATTAAAAATATCAGGTGCTATATGTGAGGAACTTTCGAATGCGCACCGACGTTTCAGCTCTGAAAGTATTCAACTTGAACTCGGCCAAAATCGCTTAGGCAGTTACAGAGCCAAATAAGAAGAATCTGTGAAGCAGAGCCAACTGCCATCTAAGAAGCCGCCAATTCGTTGCGCACTTGTGATAGTCTCAAAGCGGCGATCAGAGCTCTGGGATGATGATAAGGTCAAAATTGGTAGGTCACTGGTAACCTGCGGTATTCTTCTGAACAAATGGGCTTTTAGTCGGCTCTGCGAACGGCTTCAGTTTTCGATGTCATAAAGGCAGTTGGAGCATAGGCGTTAGGAAGGAGTCGCTCACTCTACATGCATACATATCACTTACCATATGTTCGCCATGTGAGTGTAGCACTTGCGGTCTCTACACGTTCGTCGATTGCTTCCACTTCATGACGTATAAGTTGCAATTCTGCAGCGCTGCCAATGATACCAGCTTCACAGTCCTCATCAGCAGCTAGACCGCGAATGCCATTGTAAAATTCACCGATCTTGATGAGTTTCACTTTGCGTTGCCAAAACGCATCCCTTTCGGCATACAAGTCCAGTAAAATATTATCCAAAGCATATAGCCTTTGTTGTTGCTGAGCAACTAATGCATCTGCTGCTGCTGCTGCTGCTGCTGCAACTGCTTCAGCTCCAGCTCCAGCTCCAGCTTCAGCCACCAAACGCCTATCTGACACTGGTTGGGACTGCGTGGTTGGCATGACGCCGCCAGCATTATTCGCAGTTAGATTGTTGACATTAATGTCGGTGATGCCGCAGTTACTGCCACGTCGCACATTGCCTGCCAGCTGCATTGCCAGCAAATACTTGGCCTCTTGTAAAAGTCCAAATAAATCCGGCGCGAAATTCATTTGCAGTGATTTTGCTTTTGCTTTTTTTGTCATTAGTTCGTCTTTGGTGTTGTTGTTGTTATTGTTGTTGTGGCTTTGTTTGCTGCCGTGACTATAGTTGTTCGCTTTCCGCGATTGCGTCAGCGCTGCGGTGATTGCACTTCGAAAATTTGCACCAAAGGTGTAATTTGCTCTTGTGCCGCCTAAATGATCATTGCTGCTGCTGCCCGCACCGCCGCCGTTGCCGTTGCCATTGCCATTGCCCTCGCCATTGCTGTCGAGGGACATCACACGTGCGTCAAGTCCTTTGGCAATCCTTTTGCCTATTGTCTGCTGCCAATTGTGCCAGATTTTCAACTGCAAATTGCTCAGCTTTGTTGTTAAAATATCGCGTCGTGTGTTTAGTCGTCCGTAGGCGTCCACTATGTTAGCGGTCTCCTCGGCGGCCACACCTCGACTCCAATAACCAGCGTTGTATTCTGTGTTAATGGGGATGTTGTTGCTGTTAGTGTTGTTACTAATTGCTTCGCTGCCCTCGGTATCGCTGTCAGCAGTGTGGAGCCTAAGAAAAATAATTGATTAATTGATTGCGGATAAAATCAAAAGAGGAATTGGGATGAAATCCATTTAAAAGCTGTAATTGATTTTTTTTTTTTATGTGGGCATGTAGAATGCTGCAAAGTGTGTACTAAAAAGCTTAATATGAGAGACGTTTAAACCTAATTTGAAAAATTCTCCAAACGGCCGACTAAAATGAAATTGATTTAATGTACTAGACTCTCTAATTATATCGACCCCTTGGCGTATAATGTATGTGCCACTTTTTCGAAATTGGTTTTTGATGCAAGTTTGTTCTGCACCCCAGAACGCATCACCTGGTAAAATATTTTAGCTGAAGTCTCTATGATTTACTGAATATTTTGTCGTATGTAACAATGCATTTTTTTTCTTGTTGGCGAAGTTATCGTATGTGCCATACAAAAGAATTTTGCATGTAGTATAAAAAAATTCTAAAAATTTTGAAAAGTAGAAAAAAACCTCTCCTGTCAAACTAAGTTTGTGGCACATATGTATATGAATTCTAATATAAAAATATATATATATATATTTTTTTTTCATGATCCAATGCTCGGATCTAAACCAGATCCAGAATTATCGGAATCGGTTGACGTGGTCCAAAGTTATGCGGTAACATACATAAAAAAAAAAAATATTCCGACGAACTGATAACCTCCTGCTTTTTTGGAATTCGGTCTGGCTGGAGAAACTCAAGAAGAAAGAAATTGTTAGAAGAGTAATCTTCAAATTCAGAGAATTTTGTAAGTATCTGGCTTTGCGACAAGTTTTGCGTATTGACGATATAACTGTATTGATGCTCTCGTGTAAATGATTGGATATTCAATTGATGCATAACGACAGAAAATAGAAAATCAAAAAGATATATGGAAATAATTAATATTGTTTTTCCGAACTGTCGCTTTTAACGAAACCAAAAGGACCAAAAATCAAAAACAACGTACCAACGTACCAAATAATTTTCAAAGTACTGTAAGACTTGTCTAAATAGTCCATATTTTATTCCGACTTGTCTGATATCAGAAATTGTCTGGCAAATCTGCTAGCTGGGTACACATGTACCTACATAATCACATAAAATTGTCAGTGCTAACTGCCGCTCATTGTTAAAGTCTACGCAATTTACCTTTATAACCTTTCGAATGCAGATAGTGAATTCTATTTAAGCGTATTGCTGCAAATTCTAAAGGAAATTCACACTGCCAAGCAAGCACTACTTGCCAACTCAGTTGGTGCGAATAAGTGCAAATTCCAATCGATTGCATCGGTTTCATGATGACTACTCATTGAGCATAAATACATACATAAATACATACATACGTGGTGCGTATAGATACACTCTCTCCTCAATGCTAACGCTAACTTACATTTTCTTCATGAACTTATGCACTTCACGAGATGCCAACGTGTCTATGCGTTGCATATGCTGTTCCAGCCACATTAGAGCACCGGCAGTGGGAGGGAGTCCCTGTTGTATAGGTACTGCAGTTATACCGCGATATTCGAATTCCAGCAGCGTTTCAAGTACCGAACTTTCCAACTGGTGTAGCTCCTCGCTATAGATATGAAGTAGATGCGAATCAATGACACGTAGCTCCGGTAGAATAGTGCGACGTTCGAGTATGCCAATGCCAAGCATTACAGTTAGCTGTAGTTTAAATAAACATATATACATACATACATACATACATACATACGTAAGTACATTGCATGTAGTAGTTATTTGGAGGAAATTGGTAGATAAGAGAAAGGGTACGAATATTAAAGCCAGGCACACCTTTGTTAATTGCTCCCAGTTTTGGCAGTCTTTGTACGCCTGCACGAATATCGTTGCCAATTTCTGCTCCAAAGCATGTATTTGCTCGAAAAAGTTACGTAACTGTCGTTTGAAGTGCGACCATTTGCTGTTGCTGTTGCTGTTGCTGTTGCTTGGCTGCTGGGCATCCAACTGGGGTGCATCAAATTCGGTTAAAGTCCATTGTTCAAAGAGCTCCTTGAATTGTGTGTACACCTGTAGAGAATGTATTTAATGTTTAAATGAGTAGACAAAAGAAACGAGTCAGATTTAATTTGGAAATCTGCTGGTGTGATGGTGAAAAGTATAGTTTTCATAAATTGAGTGAGATGAAATGTTAAAGAAAGAACTTTTAGCACAGTCCAATGAAAATGGTTGTTCATTTTGTATACGGAAATTGTTAATAAAGAAAGATTGTGCTTTTAATCCTGGAGAGACGGAGCTCGTACTAATTTACTAGGAGATTTAAAGTACCTAATACACAGCTTCCTTCGATAACTGGTGTTTCATTCATGTTCTCTGGCAGGGTCAGGTACGCTCCGCACCCCTCATTGATATTGTGGAAAAAGTTGCCGCAATTCACTACGCCAATTGGCTAAGAAGCTCTGGTTTCTTCTTTTACCCGGAGTACGAACACTCGGAAATTCCTAAAAACTTCGACTTCTTGTCGGAGGAGATTGATCGGAGCGGTCCGGGAATGGCCGGTCCCTTCTCTACATACATCCCTCCAAGTGGTGAGTAGGATAATGACAGCCTGTAGAATGGAGGTCCATTGGTGAAGCTCTATTCTGCAGGAAACTCAAGGAAAATCTTATATTCAGGCTGCCGGATTTTGCTGCATTTTTCAGTCAGAGGTGACAGCTATTAGGGAGGCAGTCGACTTGCAGCTCATCATTTTATTACGGAATAGGGAAGTAAATATGTGCTATGACAGCCCAGCGGCCATCAGGGCTCTACGGTTGCCAACGAAAGGAAGGAACACCAAAAAGAAAGGATCGAGGCTAGTTGGCGAATATTCAATCAGTTCCAAAGTTCAGTATTCCAAAATCAAAGTGAATTGGGTCCCCCTTGAGGACATCTCCGCGGACAGGGAAGGCAACTTGCGGACTGTCCCTGGATAGATGGGTTTATAGACGGCTCAGCGAGCGTTGGTCAAAAACTTCGAAACGAAAAGTTGGTTTTGCAGTTGGCCAAGCACTTGCTCTCGTTTCTCACAGATGTACTGACCAGTGATTCAAACACTTCGAACCGTATTTTTTATTTTTTTGCAGAATTTGTGTTTAAAGAAATATTAGGTAAATATAAATTTTTTTTCCCCTAAAAACTTGAAAGCACAAACTATCGATTTTGATTGCTCGGAATAATATTCTAAAGTCTATAAAATGGATAATCTTAACTTAAACAACATTTTTTATTAAAGCTTATTGAAGCATCTCGTAGATATTTTCATTTGCTGCGAGATATGTAAACGATAACCTAAAAACTTACCTGCCGAACGCGCTCATTTAGCTGTTTGCCGCGCAAGCCGCCAAATTCAATTTTTTCAAGATTCTGAAACGATACCGCTGCGTCAAAAAGTTTACGCATATCGCCAAGTTGCGTCACAAATCCATTAACTGTACATTCAAAGACATCTTCAGGTGAAAAGCGCCACAGCTCGTGTGCTACACTACCATTATCGACTGACTCAGAAGACGGTGCAACCACAACCGCAGCACGAGAAGTGCTCGGCAAAGCAGGTAGCAATTGATGACCGCTGGTATACTTTTCCTTATATTCCAATAGTTTGTATCTGAAACAGAAACAGACTTTTCAATTCAACGGCCTTACGCGTTACCGGCGCGTGTATCTTACTTAAACAGCTCTAAAACCTCAACAGATTTTGTTATTTTGCTCAGACCCTCATCGGCGTCACCCTGAAATAGCAATGGAAATTCCAAATCTTCACTTGCGCGCCGCACCAGCAGCTGACAAACGCAACGCAACAGTACCGTCATGCGTTGTGTGCTACGATAATAGCGCGCATGCGTCCAAATGAGATGCAGCACATGTACTAGTGGACTCACCAGCTCAGCGGCTGCATGGAAGTTGACAGCGTTAAAGGCGGCCGTTTGCCGCAATAGTGGCTGCAGCCAGAGCGTGTTGTCCTCGGCCTCGTGCCAGGCGCATACCAAACGCTTGAAGACCTTCACAAATGGCTCATAGTAGGCTGAGTCGATACTCTTGAGAATGTGTGTGAGTGACCTGTGCGTTGCTGTGCGCAATTGTTCGTAAATATTTTGCAAATTTTGTTTGCGGTTGGACCAGTAGGCGATCTCATGTGCCGGCAGTGTTACCGTCACTACACTTTTGGTTTGCTGGCTGGTATTTCTTGATTGATTGCCGGTGCTGAACTCCGAGCGCTCGCTGAGAATTTCATGTATCTGCGTTGTCCAATTGATGTATATTTCCTCGAGCGCCGCAAGGAATTTCGGTTCAATGGCCGGAGCCAAGTTACTGCAAAAGGTGGAGAAAGGGGAAATAGAGATTTTTTTAAGTTAATTAATTTTTTTTACCTTAATTGAAAAAAAAACTTAGAAACTGAATATATGTCCTTTTTGTGGATTCATACAAGAGAGAAAAGTACTCCCTCAAACGATTCTAGAAGATGCGAGTGAGGTATATAAATATTAGACCCCCTTGAACCAGAGGACCAGACCAAAATATGGCACCAGTGCGAAATATAAACTTAGGAAAAACGACGTAAGAAAAAATAGAAGAGAAATTCTATACGAAACAGAATATTTTATCAGAAGCGATGTATGGTGACGCCACACAGTGGAAGAGGCCCTTTCAAAAATTGGCAAAAAGTAAATATTGTGCTCCGATTTTACTGTAACTTGTAATCTGTGGTGAAAGTTCTGGGTTGCTTTACTGACTATTTTACGTCAATTTCCATGTGTACAAACAAAAGCAGGCAAACAACAAGCAAGCAAATATTTATTAATGAATTTAAAAATATAATTAATTTAAATGTAAATACAACTAATTTAAAAAGCAATAGTGTTTACCCGACCGAATTTTCCGACTGCAATGGATTAGCCATTCGTTACTCGCTCTACGCTGCACTTATGTTTACCACATAAATTGATACAAATTGGCCAAAAACTGCGACACACGGCAACACTCGATTGGTTTCACAGAACTTTCAACAAAAATGTAAACTGCTTGTGAAGCATGAGCATGTGGAAATTATTTCTCAAAACATAACAGTTATTGATGAAAACTGTCGTTGAAAAATTCACTATGGAGGAAATGTTTTACAACTAAGTGATACATATCAATCAATTTATTTTTTCTTATGGAAAATTAAAAACAAATAAGAATTTTATGAATCCAAAGTAACAATTATTTTTGATTTTTATTTAAATAATCTATAAATAATAGTTATTTTTAATTTTTTTATATTATATGTCTTAGATAACAGTTATCGAAGACTTTAATTTATTATCAATAAAAATCATTCAGTGACTTTTACTTTTCCAAGTCATCAATATAAATCCCTCCTCAGCGTTGGTCGTCTTGCCGTGGCGAGGGGGCTTAAATGGTGTCATGGTATAACTCACAGTGTGAATTGTATCATGCCTCCATGAACTAAGAGGGAAGCCTGGTATTGAAGCCTCCGGCAATATTCCTTAACAATCCAAGCTGGAGTGTTGTTTTTATTGCTGAAGGTGGAAATGGCAGGATTACCGTACCAACACTACCCAAGCCAAGGTGTGTAGGCAACCGTGCCGATGGATGAATGGCCAGCGGGTAGTAAAAAATGGCTGGTCGCGTACGGTCCCCTCCGATGCCCGGGCAAGGTCGGTTGTAAGAAGTGCCTTCTCTATGCATACCGGCTCTGCGGACGAGCGACTAACCCTTTCCGGACTACTCGTGGGACCACATATGGAACAAAAACAAACAAAAACAAACAAACAACAACAACAAACAAACCAACAACAGCAACATGAACAGCGTACCAGCGAAGAAGGGGACGACGTAACGCTGTCAGAGGAGGAGCAGCTCCTCAAATCCCCAAGGTCAGGTAAGATGGTTGCAAGTACTCCTGGTGGCGCCAGCCATAGTACTCCAGTTGTACAAGCGCCAGAAACCAGCAGGGTGGAAGATGCCAGACAAAGTATCACCACTCTGCAAATAGTCAAAAATAGCACCGGTAGTGCCTGCCGTAGTACTCCGGACGAGCAGCCAACAACCAGCAAATCGGCGGCCGTTGCAGGCAGCAACCCCGCCTCTAAGAAAAGAAAACCCTCGGGCGTGGTCATGAGACAGATGTACCAGAAGGCGCTGTATATGTTAAATAAAATTGACAAAAATGCAGCGGCCGGTACGGTACATGAGCGTGACGAGGAAGACAAGGCAAAATACAGGCAAATAGTGGAAGAGTACGAAAAGTTACAGACAGATCGTGCAGCCACAATCGAGGCCACCGAAGCGAAGAAGCGGAACCGCTCTCATAACGAAGGCGGCCAAGGGGCCATCGCAAAGAAGGCTAAGCAAGGTGGTGATGCGGAGTCCGCAGCACCCGCGAAGCATCGCTATTTTAGTGACGTCGCCAGAGATCATCTACAGGCGGCGATAATAGATGAAAATAGCAAGACACCGCTACCAGTGCAGCAAAAATGGTTGGAGATTGATGTGAGGCTGTCGAGCCTCGTAATGAACCACGTACTCGACAACCCCGAAGGTCCTCACCCAGAGTTCGACTCGTCGGAATCCCTACGGGGATACCGGGTAGTCAAGTGCGCGAACCAGTTCTCCCTAGATTTCCTTGCTGGATGCGTCGCTAAGATCAGCGACACTTTTGTCGGCTTGAAGCTCAAGCTGATCCCAGCTAAGGACATTCCAAGGAGACCACGTGCGCGCATTTGGCTGCCTCCGATGGATGAACCAGGCGAAAAGTTGCTGCGGTGTCTTAAGCTACATAACAAAGACATACGGGCAATCGAGGAATGGGAACTTATAAAAGTTGAAGAGCCAAGAAGGCCTACAAATAAGCCCATTCTACTAGCTATTTGTGCAGAGTCACTAGACGCCTTAGAGAAGGCTGACTATCGGCTCTGCTTCGGTATCCGTAAGGCTAGAGTGCGGGTATTCCTCGGAGAGGTTAGCCCGGTAGAAGAAGATCCCGGGGTTGATGGAGCTGGTGAGCTTCTCATGGGTGTGAAGCTGACAGATGACCCTGAACCGGAAACTTAAAGTAGCCCAAATAAATCTGCAGCACTCCAAATGTGCTACAGATAATCTAGTTGTCCTTCTCAGTGAGGAGGATATAGACATTAGCCTAATTCAAGAGCCCTGGGTCAAGCACGATACAATCATGGGACTAAATATAAATAATTATAAACTCTACTATAAGAGCGAGGTAGGTAAACCGCGGGCGTGTATTCTTATCAAGAACGGTATAAATGCATTCCTTTGCTCTAATTTCAGCACATCAGATACAACAATGGTTAAGGTGGAGACCACCGGACAGCCAAGTATACTCCTGGTCTCATCATACATGGCCCACGATAGGGACAGTCCGCCAACCGAAATCCAGGAGATAATAGCCAAAAACCCCAGACAAATTATAGTCGTCGGCTGCGATGCGAATGCAAGGCATCCAGTTTGGGGTAGTTCTACGGAGAACGACCGAGGTGAGTCTTTACTACACTTCTTATTAAATACTAACTTAAGCATCTGCAATAGAGGTAATACACCCACATTCATATTCCCGAGTTCAAACCGGTTTCCTGGATGGGAGGAGGTGTTGGATCTGACCCTGTTGTCAGAGAACGACAGCGTGTCTGTAGAAGAGTGGAGAGTATCTGATAGGCCTTCAATGTCTGATCACCGTCTGATCCTCTTTAATCTGCACGGAATTTCCAGCACCCCCCTCAAAATACAGAAACCCCCACAGGACTAATTGGGAAAGATATAGTAACACAATTAAGCGTAAACTAAGTAAGCTCCCACTAAATACAACTGTCACTACAGTTGAGGACCTTGATAATAGAGTAAATAAACTAGAAGAGGTTATGAAGAAAGCCTTTGAAAGATCAACTCCAGTTAGTACAGCAAGAAAGAAATCCCCACCCTGGTGGAATGGGGATCTCAGAGCCCAAAGAGACAAAATAAGGAAAATCTACAATGATTGCTTTAGAACTAAAAACTGGGCGCCTTATAAAAGCGCCCTCAGATCTTATAAAAAGGAGTTGAGAAAATCTAAAACTAAATCCTGGCAATCTTACTGCTCTTCTATAGAGAACTCTAAAGACTCAGCCAGGCTCAGCAAAATCCTATCAAAAGAACACACAAATATCACACTCATTAAGGGAGAAAACGGGGTGTGGACGAACACAGCTAGTGATTCTCTAAACACGTTAGTCAAGTTCCATTTCCCAGGATTTATTCGACATCTACCCACATCAGGGTCAATTGAACCTGGTTCAACTAGCAGTATACTGTTGAACTCGATCGTGAGCAGGGAAAAGATTATTTACGCTATTAACAGCTTCTCTCCCTTCAAATCCCCTGGACCAGATTGCGTAATCCCAGCAATGCTCCAGAGGGTGAAGGGAGATATAGCACCGTTACTCGTGACTATTTTTAAGGCTACCATTACCTTGTGCTACATTCCTAAAAGCTGGAGAAGGGTAAAAGTCGTGTTCATACCCAAGCCAGGAAGGAAAAACCACGAAACAGCATAAGATTTTAGACCCCTAAGCCTTACCTCCTTTGTGCTTAAAACAATGGAAAGGCTTCTCGACATTTATATACGATCGCTGTTAGGTGAAGCGACACTCTCAACAGCACAACATGCATACATCAAAGGCAGATCCACTGAATCTGCTTTGCATGAAGTGGTGAGCTTAATAGAAAGATCGTTGCACTTTAAACAATATACTCTGGCGGCATTTCTTGACATCGAGGGCGCATTTAATAACATTGAGGTTGACACCATCATAGACTCTTTGATAGATACTGGTGTTGACGACAGTGTTTGTAGATGGATACGATCGATGCTAGTCAATAGAATCATTCAGGCAACAAATGGGGCTAACTCTATTACACATCATGTGAACAGGGGCACTCCACAGGGCGGAGTGCTCTCACCACTGCTATGGGTGATAGCCCTGAACGGTATATTGCTAGAACTCAATAGAGGGGGAGTCAAAGTTGTGGCGTATGCGGATGATGTTGTAATAGCAGCCACAGGTCCATTCCTCTCTACCGTTAGCGAAATCCTTGAAGGAACCCTGGGAAGACTACACGCCTAGGCTACGAGAAGCGGCCTAAATGTGAACCCAGCGAAGACAGAACTTATCCTATTTACAAACAGACACAAACTACCACAATTCAAGCTACCATCGCTAGACGGCAATGCGCTCTCATTGTCCCCCAGCGCAAAGTATCTTGGAGTCGTGCTGGATAACAAACTTAACTGGAAAACCAATATCGAATTCCGTAGA